GAAAATGAATAAGGAACAAGGAAATTAATGTAGAGACCAGAGTTGGCTTTGCTTTCAGGGATTGTTGACTGGATATATCATGTGTCTGGTAAAGTAGAGCATTTACAAGTACACAAAAGTTATCCAAGTTTTGGTTTGCCAACATGGCACTTCGGGTTGATGTAGCTCCATTCTTGGATTCAACCATGGTAGCATGGTATCCCCAACTTTTTCTCTCTGAGGATAAAGCTGCTCAGCAGGCAAACATTTATGATTGCTTTGGCTTGAAGTTCTCAATGAATATCATGATGTGAAAAATAACTTTTTGTTTTGTGTAACTAGTTAGCCTTCCTTACTTAAAGTAGGGAGAAGTGAATTTTGGTTGACATGATTTAGTTAATACCCAAATTTTAAGTTTCTATTATACAGTGAGTTAGTAGTCACCAAATCTGTTTTTTCTGTGTACACGTGTCACCTTAGAATCTACTTTGAGGTGAATATTGATTAGGTAGTGGACAAAAGTTTGTGTCTATTTTACCCTTATAGGAAAAAATGACTTCCTCTCACAGTGGCTAATAGTCTTTTGTGTAGTATATAAATTGTGCACACATAAATAGTATACATATACTGTAAATTTCCTCAATTCTTATTGGGCCTATGTTTTCATTAGAGATGTGTTTTAAATGCTGGTTTTCATTTCCCATTGTAAGTTCTGATATATGCACAAAACTCACCACTGCCTGAGTCTGGTTGCTCTGTTGGTGGGGCTGGCTGACAGAAGAGGTAAGGTACCAGCTCATCTTCCATGGTCACTTTTCCTGTGAACATTAGAATAGGAAAACATGATTTATAGGTCTCCAGGAGACCAACTTGTTGCCTGCTGTTTTTAGGACTGTCTTGCCTCTCTAACTCATTTTACAAAAGTTACAAACTACCTGTGTTTATGAAAGAATAGGTCAGTTGGTCCAATCAGTTGTGCCACACTTACACAGAGCATTCTGTTGGTCTTCACCCTCCTGGTATGAAAGGTTAGTAAGAATATAGGATGCTGGTTTTCTTTGAGCTCATTCTAAAGTGAGCACAACAGGACTGTTGGAGTCATTTTTTCTCAAATCCACATTGTTGGTGTGGCGTGGCATGATTACTCCCTCCTTTTGACTCACTCTGGAGGTATTTACGTGCATTATGCATAAAAATGTTTTTAACATCTAATGCACTGTACATGTAAGAATTTTCTGCCTTCTAGAGACTTTATCAAATTTCAAAGGAAAGAGCTTCATCCTGAAAGAGCACTAAACTCAGTGGTAAAGATTAGGAATATTAAAAGTGTACTAACAGAGAGATTGAACAAAGTGGCGGCACATAGGTAACCACGGTATCCACCACCTCCCACAACCACATCAGAATTACAACTAAAATACAGAGCAACCATCACTCAGACCCTCCTGAAATATGGCTGAACAGAAGCCCTACAACCAGGGAACTGAAGAAGCAACTAGACCGGTAGGAGGGGCAGAGATTCAGGCAGATCGGGGCTGAATCATAGAGACTTGGCCCTGAACCCACACCCGGTGCCTCGGTTTAAATCCGGGAGGGATATCTCGGTGGTGGAGGTTTCCCGGAGTGAGGGGTCCCAGGCCCACAACAGGCCCCCCCAGTCCAGGATTCCAGTGCCGGGAAGAGAAGTCCCACAACTTTGGGCTGTAAAAACCAGCAAGGACTGTCCCTGAGTGATGCAGAGGCTGCTGGAGTCCCAGGCAGCTCCTCTTAAAGGGCCCGTGCTCAGACTCACCCAGATGTGCTCCCCCTGAGCTCTGGTGCTGGGCAGCAGCTTGAAAGGAACCTGGGACATTTGAGAGGAACTAACTTGCCTGAAGTCAGGGCAAAAGGTGTGGGGCAGCTTTCTCCCAGGCAGAGGAGCTGGCAGAGGCCATTGCTCCTTTGGTGAGCCCTCCCCACACAAAGCCAGCAGGCAGGTGCCATATTTGAATCTCCAACACCCAACTGACACCTTTTGCTCTGCCCTGATGATTCCAGGAGACCTCGCCCCTCCCTACTTGCAAGCTCATCCATGCCATTTCCAGTGACTTTTCTATGCAAGTGGCCTCTCTAACCTCATGCTTGGGACTTTCCTAAAGTCTCTCAAACAAGCAGCAGCTGGCCTCAGTGTGCCCCATACATCTTGATAAGTAGCCCTAGGCCTGGCAGTAGTGGCAGCCTGCATTGGTTCATAGCTTGGCCTCTCCTGGACACCTCCAAGCCCAGCACAAGTAGCAGCCCACTATAGTTTGCTGTGTAGCTCATGCTGGGTGGCTCTGGGCAAGGCACAGGCAGAAGCTGACTTTGCATCTCCTGGTAGGCCCCAGAGACAGTGCACCTGGTGGTCAGACTTGACCACGCTGGGTTATAACCCTACCACATCCACAAGTGACACACTCAAGACGCACACTCTGTGAACACCAAAACTCCACTGAAGTAAATCCTGCTCCATGGGGGTAGCTCGAGCACAGAAGCTCTTGACTGTAGCTGCAGCTGGTTTTCACAACCAATTGGCCGGGGGTCAGTTCCTCCAAGTGATGTCAACAAAAACAAAGGCTCAACTACAACAGGACAGTGCACACAGTCCACACAGGGGAGCACCTAGAAGGCCCAGCTCAGGTGACTGGGGAGGCTGAGCCACTGGCCCCTACAGGACACCTACTACACAAAGCCACTCTACAAATTCCAGGAGACATAGCCCCTCTACCTAATACATAGAAACAAACACCTGCAAGCAGCCAAAATGTGGAGGCAAAGAAACATGTCACAAAGGAAAGAACAGACGAAATCTCCAGAAAAGGAACTAAATGAAATAGAGCCAAGCAAGCTACTAGATACAGAGTTCAGAATAATGTATATAAGGATGTTCAAGGATCTAAGTAAGACTATTAAGGAAACTAGTGAGATCATCAATGACATAATAAAGTACCAATCAGAAATGAAGGCTGCACAAACTGAAATGAAGAATAATTTACATGGAATCAACAGTAGAGTAGAGGACGCTGAGAATGAAATCAGCAATTTGGAATATGAGGAAACAAAAAACACCCAAACAGAAATGCAAAAAGAAAAAAGAATCCAGAAATATAAAAATAGTATAAGGACTCTCTGGGAAACTTCAAGCAGCCCAGCATTCATATTATTGGGGTGCCAAAAGGAGAAGAAAGAGAGCAAGAAATTGGAAGCCTATCTGAAAAAATAATTACAGAAACTTCTCCTACCTGGTGAAAGAAATAGTCTTACAAGTCTAGGAAGCACAGAGAGTTTCAAACAAGGGGAACCCAAAGAGACCCACACCAAGACACAACATAATTAAAATGCCAAAGGTTAAAGACAAAGAGAGAATCTTCAAAGCAGCAAGAGAAAAGCAGTTACCTCAAGGGAGCACCTATATGACCCTCAGCTGATTTCTCAACAGAAACTTTGCAGGCCAGAAGGGAGTGGCAAGTAATATTCAAAGTGATGAAAAGCAAGAACCTACAACCAAGATTACCTAGCAGAGCTATCATTTAGAACTGAAGGTCAGATAAAGAACTTCACAGATAAGAAAAAGCTAAAGGAGTTCATCACCACCAGACCAGTACTACATGAAATGTTGAAAGGTCTTCTTTAAGAAGAAGCTAGTGATCAAAAGAATCTAACAAACTAAATAGATCCAGAGACATTGAAGCATGTAACAGACGGTCCTATCTGAGAGAGAAGAGGGAAGGAGGTTGGAGGGTGGGAAAGTATTAACCAAAGAAGTTATATGCATATATGCATAACCCATGGACACAGACCATAATAGGGTGAAGGCCTGAGGAGGGAGTGGGAGCGAAGTGAAGGGGATTAATGGGGGGGAAAATGGGATACCTGCAATACTTTCAATACTAAAGATATAAAAAAGTGTATTACACAAATAAAGACAGTCTCGAAATTCCAGTACATGTATTGTCACCTGCTATCGTATTGTATGTTTCCATTAGTTGGGAGCTTGAGTGTCTTTAGTGATTAGATAATCAGAAACCTTTACAAAGTGAACTTGCTAACCTGCAGGGGGAAACACTCCTTTGAAAAATATTCAAGTGCTATCCAAAACACTAATTTGAAAAGATGTATGCACCCTTGTGTTCATTGCATCATTATTTACAATAGTTAAGGTATAGAAGCAACCTAAGTGCCCATCAGTAGATGATTGGATAAAGATGTTATGGCACATACAGGGTGGAGTAATAGTATGTTTGCAGTTGTGAATATGTGAAATGCAGAGTTTATTCTTGTATTATTATTTTCTGTATGAACATCTTTACTCGACCATAAAAATGAATTAAATCTTACCATCTGCGACAATGTCGATGGACCTAGAGGGTATTATGCTAAATGAAATAAGTCAGAGAAAGACAAATATATATATTATTACTTATATGTGGAATCTAAAGAAGAAAATAAATGAACAAACAAAACAGAATTAGACTCATAGATACAGAGAACAAACTGATGGTTGCCAGACAGGAGAGGGGTCGGGGGACTGGGTGAAAAAGGTGAAGGGATTAAGAAGTACAAATTGGTAGTTACCAAATAGTCATGGGGGTGTAAAGTACAGCATAGAGAATATATTAAATAATATTATAATAACTATATATGGTGCCTGGTGTGTACTAGACTTATCAGGGGGATCATTTCATAAATTGTATAAATGTCTAACCACTATACTGTACATCTGAAACTAATATAATATTGAATGTCAACTGTAATTGAAAAATTTAAAAAGAGAAAGAAAAATATTTAAGTGCTGTATTAATTAATGTGCACACCCTCCCTGAGAAAAAATGTATTCTTTTCCCCTACTTAGTGTGCTGATAGTTGTCTAGTCACCAAAAGTAAACCTCGACACACACAATTCTTCCTTCTAACATCCTACTAGGAAATTTTATCCCTCGCAAGTAAAAAGACTAGACTAATTGTTTGTTTACTTGATTTTTAATTAATTTATTTATTTTTAGATTATACATCCAAAAACTGATGATCAAAGAAATAGATTGCAAGAAGCTTGCAAAGACATCCTGCTATTTAAGAATCTGGATCCGGTAAGATAAATATCAATAATGGAAATGATTTTTTTTCAGTATAATTATGAAGAACTGTGTAGGGTCTTGGATTTCACTCTCTTTACAAGCTAGCATCACCCAGCATTGTAAAGGCCCCATCGTGAATTATATGAGGAACACTTGTACTGAACTTGAGAGGCCCACTGCTGTTAGAACAAGGAGAAAGTGGGCCTGCTGTTTGTCTGGGGGAAGACATTATCTCATCCCTCAAAGTTAACTAGCTACAAACATAGCTCTGAGAAATGGCCCAGCTGAAGAGAAGTTAGGACCTTGCATTCTTTATTCTTTGTACACCCAGCTGGAACATGGAGGGATATGCAGGTCCCTGCTGGTAATACAGTAGTAACTATATTCTAATGTATAACTCTTATACATATTTTAAATGTAACATTTTACTTGGCTTTAAAGGTAGGAGGATTTTTTCATTCTTTGTAAATATTTTGAAATCTCTAGTCCTTGGTTTTGGGTGTATTTCTAGAATAACCTCTCAATATGAGTGAGCATGCTGCTCAGATTTTTCCCTGTTCTGCTTCCATCATCACAGATTATACTTATTTGTTTCTAATACTTATTTGTTTCTATACCGTCATTTAGGAAAGAACCCCTGTTGCCATGTTCCAAATGTGAAAACTGAGTCAACTTTTGTAACTTGCCTCAACTTTTTTTTGGTCAAACTCAGTGTCTTAGTTTTCAGATTGATGGCCTAGAGAAGAAAGCATTAAATCTAGACCCACTCTTTTTAAGGTGAGGTTGTCTTTGAAAGGCCATTTTTATAAAGAGGAAGGTACTGCATTATACCAAGTCTTCTACATTGTTATTACAAACTGAAATATTTTTAAAAGCTCTCGTGTTTCTAATACCATATATGTTTATATCATGTTCTCCAGGAACATGGATTACATTTTGTGACTTTGGAGATCTTGTTTTAGGACCACACATTACAAGTTTTGTCCAGTTTGATCCATGGCCTCCAGAATTATCCCTGAGCTTGCAAAAGAAGGAGCTATAAAAAATGGGGTTACTGGTTATTATCTCTAATAATGGAAGACTAAGAAGTGGAATTAAAATAGAAAATTTAAGAATTTAGTTTAGTCATGGCTGGGTGGCTCAGTTGGCTGGAGCATCATCCTGTACACCAAAAGGTTGCAGGTTTGATTCTCAGTCAGGGCACATACCTAGGTTGTGGGTTTGATCCCAGTCAGGCGAGTCCAGGAGGCAACCAATCTAATGTTTCTCTCCCACATCAATGTTTCTCTCTCTCTCTCTCCCTCCCCCTTTTTCTCTCTAAAAATCAATTAGAAATAAATAAATAAAAACATATTCTTGAGTGAGGATTTAAAAAAAAAATTAGTTTGCAAATCAAAAATTTTCCTTGTAGTATCAAATGGTGGAATAAGTGACTAAAGGGAATTTGAAATTCTGTTGTACTTCTAAATAATCCCAAATCTCATTTATCTAGAATAGTAATGATTCTGTGAAATAAAGGACACTAAACTCAGTGATCTCTCATGATCTCCTACCAGTATGAGTCTAGTGTAAAGATACAACTTGTGTGTGTGTGTGTGTGTGTGTGTGTGTGTAAAGATGATAAATTTTGGTAGTGGAATTAAACTAACTTAGAATTTAACTCTTGCTCTAGATACATGCAGAAGACAGCTATAAAAGTAATCCTTAGTTTTACCCTTAGGTGTAGGCTTCAACCAAGGAGATTCTCTGTTTTTCAACTAGAACTTTACATTGGAGAATTTTAGCGGTCACCAAAAACGGTGATTCTCAAACTTTAATATGCCTGTACATCACCAGGGGATGTTGTTAAAAATGCATATTCTGGTTCCATAGGTCTATAGTGGAGCCTGAGAGTCTGCTTTTCTCACAAGCTCCTCAGTAATGTTGATGCTCCTGCCCCACAACCATACTTTCAGTAGCAAGGATTAGAGCCAGATGTGAAAATGCTCTGGCTCAGTTTTTTGGTATTACCATACATTATTTTGTTTACATACTTCCCTGTGCAATTGAGCCAGTATTTTAATGCTTCATCAGTGACTAAACAGTGATATCCTGGTGTCTGTGTACTAAGTGACACACATGCATGGGTGAATTAGCTGCGAGTTATACTTTCCTGAGATGCTGCCTATTCTAGTCCTCTAAATTAAATTTATTTTTCTTGCTATTTCAACTTTAACTCTTTTTAAAGCATTGTGAATATTTTAGTTGCATTTATTTTTTCTCCTTTTTATTGAATTTATTGGGGTGACACTGGTTAACAAAATTATATAGGTTTCAGGTACACAATTGTACAATGCATCACCTGTACACTGTATTTTGTGTTTACCACCACAGATTAAGTCTCTATCAATCATTTATCCCTCCTATATTTTGGTTGCATTTTAAATAATTTTTTTTAAATCCTCACCAAAGGATATTTTTTTCCATTGCTTTTCAGAGAGAGTGGGGTGGGGGGAGAGAAAGAAACATTGATGTGAGAGAGACACATCAATTGGTTATCTCCTGCATGAGCCCCGACCAGGGCCGAGATCGAGCCTGCAACCAAGGTATGTGCCCTTGACGGAATTGAACCTGGGACCCTTTACTCCGCGGGCCAATGCTCTAACCACTGAGCCAAATTGGCTAGGGATTGAAATAATTTTTTAAAAGCTTTTGATAGGGGCAACATAGGTAAATGAGGCAGTCGCATCCTCCCACAACCACATCAAAATTACAACTAAACCACAGAACAACCATCATTCAGAACTACCTGAAATCTGGTTGAATGGAATTCCTATAACTGGAGAAATGAAGAAGCAACATTGATACTGGTAGGAGTGGTGGAGGTGCAGAACGGATACTGGTAGGAGTGGTGGAGGTGGGAACGGACTGGTCCAATACCCACGTTTGGAATTTTTTAATCAGGAGGATATCTTGGCTATGGAGCTCTATGTGAGGAGCAAAGGGTCCCAGCCCCACACCAGATCCCTCAGCCCAGGTTTCCAGTGCCAGGAAGACAATTCCTCATAACTTCAGGCTATAAAAATTAGCAGGGATTGTGGCTGAGTGACACAGAGGCTGCTGGAGTCCCAGGTGTTCCTCTTAAAGTGCCAGTGCACAGACTTACACTGACTCACTCCCTCTGAGCTCCAGCACTGGGTCAGCAGCTTGAAAGGATCCAGGGACATATGGGGAGGAACTAAATTGGCATCAGAGCAAAAACTGGGAGGCAGCTTTCTCCTAGACAAAAGTGCTGGCAGAGGTCATTGTTCCTATTCTGAGACCTCCCTGCCACAATGCCAACAGGCAGTTGCCATTTCTGAGTTTCCATCAACGTGGGTCACACTTTTCGCTCCTCCCTGTTGATTCCCTGAGACCCCACTCTACCCAGCTTGCAGTCCTACCCAAGCTCTTTGCATTGGTCTTTCCATATAAATAAGCTGTCTTGGCTCAGGCTTCAGACTTTTCTAAAATCTCTCAAACAAGCACAGTTGGCCTCAGTTAGCCCCATACCTCTCAGTAAGAGGCACCAGGCCTGGCACTAGCAGCAGCCTATCTTGGGTCACCGCTTGACCTCTCCTGGGCACCTCCAAGCCCAACACAGGTAGCAGCCATCTGCAGATCGCTTTGTAGATTGTGCCAGGTGGCCCCAGGCAGTGCACAGACAGTGCCCAGCTCAGGTGACTGGGGAGGCTGAGCCACTGGGCCCTACAGGACACCTACTATACAAAGCCACTCTGTCAATTCCAAGAGATATAGCACCTCTACCTAATACATAGAAACAAACACAGGGAACAGCCAAAATGCGAAGACAAAGAAACATGTCACAAATGTAAAAACAGAAGAAATCTCCAGAAAAAGAACTAAATGAAATGGAAGCAAGCAAACTACCAGAGTTCAAAACAATGGTTATAAGGATGCTCAAGGAACTTAATGAGATATTCAAGAAACTTAATGACAACTTTAAGGAACGTAGTGACAACTTCAAGAAATTTAGAGAAACCATCAACAACATATAAAAGGACCAGTCAGAAATGAAGCATACACTAACTGAAATGAAGAATTATATACAGGTAATCAGCAGTAGAGGATACTGAAAATCAAATCAGCAATTTGGAATATGAGGAAGCAAAAAACATCCAATTAGAACAGCAAAATCAAAAGAATCTAAAAATATGAAGATGGTGTAAGGAGCCTCTAGGACAATTTCAAGCATACACATAGGTGTGCCAGAAGAAGAAGAGAGGGAGCAAGAAATTGAAAACCTATTTGAAAAAGTAATGACAAAAAACTTCCCCTACTTGGTGAAAGAAATAGACATACAAGTCCAGAAAGTGCAAAGGGTCCCAAACAAGAGGAACCCAAAGACACATCATAATTAAAATGCCAAAGGTTAAAAACAAAGAGAGAATCTTAAGAGCAGCAAGAGAAAAGCAGTTAGTTACCTACAAGGGAGCTCCCATAGGACTGTCAGCTGATTTCTGAATAGAAACTTTGCAGGCCAGGAGGGAGTGGCAAGTAATACTCAAAGTGATGAAAAGCAAAGACCTACAACCAAGATTACTCACTTTACCCAGCAAAGTTATCATTTAGAACTGAAGGTCAGATAAAGAGCTTCACAGATAAGAAAAAGCTAAAGGAGTTCATCACCACCAGACCAGTATTACATGAAATGTTGAAGGTTTTCTTGAAGAAGGAGGAGGAGAGGGAGGAGGAGATAAAATAAATTGAACAATAAAATGGCAATAAATCCATATCTATCAACAATTGAATCTAAAAATCAAAGTAAACGCCAAAGAATCTAATGAACAAAATAAACTAATGAATAAAATAGAACCAGAGTCATGGAAACATGGAACAGACTAAAGAATCTCAGAAGGAAGGGGTTGGGAAGAGATTAACCAAATAACGTATATGCATAACCCATGGACACAGACAATAGGGTGTTGAAGGCCTGAGGTGCAGTGGGATCCAGGCGAAGGGGAGCAATGGGG